TACATATAAATACATTTTTTCACGAAGTTCAAATAAAAAAACTGCAACCGACAAGATTCTCTGTGTTGGCGTTTGCTGACGACCTGGTCTTGCTAGCTGCCAACGATCGAGATCTCCAATACAACGTCAACATCCTCCACGAAGAAATAGCTACGATAAACATGAAGATTAACCCGGGAAAAACTAAATGTATGAGAATAGGGAAGAAGCCCCGGAGAAAAATGAGGGTGGTGAGAGAATGGAGCAGGTAGATAATTTCCAGTATCTGGGTGCTCATCTCAACGAAAGTGGTTATGTTGATAAAGAGATGAGTAAAAGAATCGGGGCAGCTGGCAGAGTGTTATATCTTCTCCAGATAGATATCCAGGGGATTTCTGGGCAGAAGAGAGATAGCGAAGTGAACTAAAGTGGCAGTCTACAAATCGACATTTCTTCCTATCCTTTTGTACTCCTCTGAATCGTGGACCTCACCTCGAAACACATAAGTCAAATTCAAGCCATGGAGATGCGATACCTTTGGAAGGTCGAGGGAAAGATCAGAAGAGATAGGGTCCGGAACGCCACTTTACGGACTACTCTCGAGGTCAAACCTGCTGAAACACAAGCTGAGATCGTTCGAACATCTTCTTAGAATGGATCAAGAGAGAACAGCCAGGAAGATATACAAGACCCGTGTGAAGGGAAGGAGAACTAGAGGAAGACCACGCATATCCTGGGAAGACAGTGTACAAGAGGCGTTCAGGAAGCGAGGTATCGATTGGAGTAAGAGAAGAGAGTTGGCTCTCAAGAAAGGGAAACCTGGTCCAAGCTCTACAAGACATAGCCCACACTGCGCTCCAGTATTGGGATCAGGAATATGATAATGATGATCAAATAATAAAAGAACAAAACATGAAAATGAATTCTGTTAACAATTACTATTTATAAATTCCCAGATTGGGTTTAAACAACTGACACACATCATAATTTATACAATATAAAAGCATACATTTTTTACTACACTAATTAATAAATTTCCATTCTATTTGTCGGGGTCTATTCTTGACGAACGTTCGATCTTTCCATTTATATATTCTTCACTCACCCTGTGATGCAGCTACTTCTCTTCTGTACTGGTGCATTCACTTCCACAACCTTCTAATGTTGACACTCACTACTTGGGGACCAACATCTTTTCACCGGTTCCTAGCAGGCTGGCTACTTTTTGCCTTTTCCCAAGTCCTCTTTACTAGCTGGCCGGTCACCTCTTTATACATGAGGCTTGCTTCCCCCACCATCTGTACTTCCTGTCAGTAGTTCGTGATGTTACCACCTTCGCGCCAATATTCAAAAAACACTATGTAATGTTGATATTACATTCTCCTCCGTTCCAGTTATGGAAAAAAATAAAAATGGAAATTCAAAATTCGGTGAAATATTTACATTTTTTTTTTTTATATAAAATAATAAACTTAACATTTGACACTAATTACAAATACTACAAATATAATTGATACTAATCACACTAATTACAATGCCATACACACATTTTACAATAGATTTCCCAACCTTGTTAGCAAACATTTACAATTTTATATGCAAAATTATTGAATTCTTAACAGAATATTACCTTGATCTAAATACATTAAAACAGAGGATTTGTATTTTAATTCATCATTTGTTTAAAAATCAAAATTCCAGAGTAATAATTTATAACAAACATACATTTTTCACAGTATTTCTTTTTTAATTGAATTCTTAACACTAGATTATCTTAATCTTCATACATTAAAACAGAGGATTTTTATTTTACTTCTTCATTTGTTTAACAATCATAAATTCCAGAGTAGTAATTTATAACAAAACATAAATTTTTTTACAGTATTTCTTTTTTAATTACACAGCACAAAATATAATCCTATTTAAATAATAAAAATAATCAAGTTTATAAGTTTTAAAATCAAGTTTTACAATACAATGAGGCATGTTAAATAGTATGGCATAAGATAATTATCGTTGGAAGGGGAAAAGAGAACATTCATGAAGCCAGGCCGAGGTAACCTTAATAATGGTACCAATAACTTATCCATATCATCCGGATCTACGTTTATCCCTCCCTCTTGGATAAAAACCGAAAAATAAGTCCAGAATTTTAATGGACTGACTCCAAACATTGCTTGCTTCAGTGTCATACTTATAGTTGTGTTATAAGTTCCGTTAAACGTAGCTTCAATTTGGAGCAATTTATTAACCCATTTTTTATGCTCTAAAGGGTTCTTTACGGATGTAAGGAATTTAACAATATTAAAATTTTCCAAAAAATCTTTCTACTCATTTATTTTAACTTTATTATTATCTTTTAATTTTGGATTAATTAAGAACAGGTTACTTTTAAAATCTTGAAATTCAAGCTTCTCTATTTTATTTATATTTATGCTTTTTAAAACAGGACTGGTGCAATAGGTTCTTATGTTTTCATTAATTATTTTTCTCTGTAATTGACCTATTTCCTCTGACTGCTTTAGTTCAATATTTTCAAGTTTGCCATTTATTTTACCATTTTCTGCTTGACATACATTTATTTGATTTATTATTATCTTTTCATTTTTATCTAATTTTGCAGATAAATTATTTTCCACGCATACTATCTCTTCATTGAGAATTTGTTTTAAATCTTTTATATCAGTATCGTATTTTTTATTATTATTAACAGTATACTTTTCAAATCTTTCTTCCCATTGTTTGGCCATATTACTACTATCATTTCTTATTTCTGTTTTAAATGTTTCCAAATTCCGTTCCATTTTTTCTAAACCATTTTTTAAATCATTTTTCATTTCATTAAAGCCGGCTAATATTTGACTTAACATGATTGAATATCCGATACTCCCGAGTTAGCACTGTTATGTATTTGAATTGGTTTGTCGGCTACTTGGACCTGTGCAATATTCTTATTATCATTAATTAATGAATTTTCCCTATATAAACTAACTTTTAACCTGTCTGGAATTCCCAAAGTTTCTTTTGCCCCACTATTAAATGCCATTTTGTTTATTTAAAACAATAGTAAAGTGAAAAAATTAAAATTAACGAGGATTGCGTATGTTTAGTTGTCATGGCTATGTTCGTAAAAATTTTTAAAGCCATGCTAGTTGGGCGCCATGTTGTAATATTTGTATATTTATTTTATTACTTGTATTTTAGTTATTCTTTATTGTAATAGTTATTTTGGCCAGATTTATTGTTAATTTATATGAATAATATTGTTATTCTTAAGGGACCTAGTTCCAGAATAAATAGGATTTTATATTTCTATTTCTAATTATACATTTTTTAGCTGATTGTACCCATGATTAATTGAAATATTAAATTTCTTACAAAACAAAAAAAAAATTCATCGAAATATATTAGAAATTTGGAAAATAAAAAATACTGCCTTTTAGCCAATTCAGCTGCTTGAAGATGAATGTTCACAGGTGTTAATAAAAATTGTCATTATTTAACTCCTGAAATCTTCAATTATTGAGGGACTAAAAGCATATGGTTATGAGGCTGAAAATGTAACTAACAGAATATTGTAATCAACAGAACAAATCCTTATGTTTTTTTTGTAAATATTACAAAAAAAAACATTACTACTACAACCCATGAATGGTATTGGGCTCAGTACTATGTGAGGAAGTACTGTTACCAAGGCCAACAGTTGTGCAGGGAGGTGATTGGGCCAAAATCACATTCAACTGCCAGGTTTTTCCCCTTGATTAATTATTTAATTAAGAGTACCAACTTTATAGAGACCAACCCCCAGGGTCCATCCATGGCTGATGAAAATTACTAGTCATCAAGTGGACTCGAACCTGAGACCTAGAGGTCTGAAAGTCAGTGCTCATTCACTGTGCTACTCTGTTAATATTACAAAACATACATACAAATGAAAATATTTTTCAAATAAAAATGGTTTATTATACTCAGATGACTACTGAAGACCAGGCAAAAAGACGATAACCCGATGTAATCGGTGCCAATAATATGGTCAAACTAATTTGGGACTTCATGCTCTGAGATTAGAGATACATGGCCAGCCCACCTCTTTCTTCACAGCCTAATATGCTTTACAAAACCAGGTTCACAGAGGAGGTTGTATATTTATTGATTACATCTTTTTTCTACTTAAATTTGGATCAATTTGAGGATTTTTAGAAGTTTATGTGTTAAATTTAATACTTGCTTATATAACAACTTTCTTAAATAACACTATTACCTCCCCCAAAGGGTTACATACATCTTTTTGATAGCAAATAATGACATAACTATTCATAAATCAATTTTTAACATATCTTCCGAGATATGTTTGACCGATTCTCCAAGATCCATATATGTGGTAAAGAATTCTTCTTTTTAAAGCTTGTAAACTCCATTCATCAGACAATGATTCTGAGCGATATATCAGAACTTGTCTAATCAATGTTTTATACAGCTGCCATTTTTGTAATCTTTACCAAAAAAAAAAAGAAACAAAGATGATAGCTATCTCAGAAAAACGTATGACAGCCAAACATTTTTTAAAACATTTTTTGTTTTTTCAAATATAACTCCTGAACAATTTTCAACTTTATAATAAACTGAGGTATATTTCTGTAAATGATACTTCAGTTATGATATGAGCTTTCTAAGAGAAAAACTCATCAAATAAAAGTTGTAACTAAATTTCATATTTTTTAATTTCACCATATAATCAAAAGAAATTTTTGTGGACCATATTTGTAGTTTGGAGATCCTTACATTAGAGCAGCAGTCTACAAACTTTTGGTCCACAGGCGACATTGAGACCTCAATTTAGTCTTGCAGGCGATGGTTTGTAATGAAATAGAAAGGTTGTTCTATCAATGACACTTAGGAGATCTCTGCAATAGAGAATAGATTGTATGCTACTGGCATATTCCTGAATGTAGCTCAAACATTTGACAAAGTTGGGCAAAATGGATTGCTTTAAAAACTAATGATTAAAAAAAAAAGCATACCATCAGACCACTCATGTGAGATTGGATCAAAACATCCATATAACTGTCCCATGGTAATAGCCTTAGGATTTATTATTCTGTATTGGACTTTAAATTCATCCATCTTTGATTTCTTATTCAAACAGATATCAGATAAGGACTCGGCAAGTGTCTGAAAATAAAAGTGAGATAATTTTAAATTATTTTTTCTTTGAGATTAACACTTCTCCCATAGTCTAAATATCAGAAATGTAACTAATTAGGTAATCTACAATTCTGATTTTGAAAACTATAATTTTATATTTAATGGACAGATAATGGATCTGACATAGTAATAAAAAATAAAAACCTTTCTTATATTTCAAATCAGATTTAGAATAAATAAATACTTTATCAAATTTAAATAGTATTTGAAACACTACTGTCAGCATAATGAGGCAAGTAAAATATACTAATCATAAATGTTAATTTTTTTTTAAAATTATTATTACTGAAATTTACAACTGTATTAAATGATAAAATACAACAAGTAAATATGAAACAAGTAACATGACATGTATAACATGAAGAGAAACTACCCATTAGTAGGACTCCAATTATATTTCAATATTAGATGGTCCTGAGGACATCTTCTTTTCAGACACCTCGCCTCGGAGGGTTATCAGCAATAGAAGAGGAAGCAAGGTTGGAAACAAGAGGATTCGGATGGTTCAGAAGTTCATTATGGAAGGATATGTATCTGGATTGAGCTAAATCGGAAACATATGTTACATTAAGGTCGTTATGGATGTTTTTATTTGTGACAAAGTAGGGAGCATTGAGGATTTTGGATTTTATAGGGATTGGATATGAGAGGAATTTGTTTGTCTAGTAAGTGCTGCAGTAGTCGAAAACGTCGGGCAGTTTCTACTCATTTCAATCTGGTATGGGGGTTCCAAGTGAGTTGTTTGTCCAGGTGGAGTCCTAGGTATCGGGTTTGTTCAACAGGGATAAGTGGACTATTGTGGAAGGATACTGTAGGACAGGAAGTCATAGGTTTACGACGAAGAGTAAAGGTAATTTGATGGGGTTTATTGGAATTTATTTTGATCTTCCAGTTTTGACACCATTTTTCAAGACTTATGATATGTGATTAAAGAGTTTGGGATGAAATAGAAGGTTATTAACAGATATCATACACGTATCATCGGCATAGGTGGTGATGACAGTATTGGAATGGGTTGGGATGTCAGCTATATAAACTGTGTACAGGATAGGACCTAAGATATTACCTTGAGGAACACCAGCAAACTGAATAAAAAGAGATGAATAAGCATTGTTATGATTTACTTTGAAATATCTGTCAGTAAGGTAGGAATGGATAATGAGGAAGTATGTAGGTGGTAGGAATTTACGGAGTTTGTACATCAGTCCCGAATGCCAGACTCTATCGAACGCCTGTTCGACGTCGAGAAAGACTACATCCACCACACAATGGCATTGCTGAATAGTGGAGTGGGATGTGCGGAATCCAAATTGGCGATCTGGGATAATGTGTTTAGAGTCTAGGATGGAATGCAGGCATTTTAAGATGAGTTTTTCTAGGATTTTGCCCATAATAGGTAAAAGAGATAGGATGGTAAGAGGATGGGTGTTCTGGCGGCTTTATGGATTTAGGTATCATTTTGACAATGGATAGTTTCCAAGAGTCAGGAGAATATGTGGTTCGGAGTACAGCATTTTATATATATATATATATATATATATATATATATATATATATATATATATATATATATATATATATATATAGGTTAGGAACAGTATGGCTTTTTTAGGAAGCAATTTTAGGATCTGGGATGTGATTAGGTCATGGCCAGGAGCTTTGCAGGAAGGTAATCTATGAATGATATTGGATATTTCTGAAGGATGAAATGCTTTAGGTGGAGGAGTCAATTGGAGTGGGATATCCAATTCTGCTTCAATAAACTCAAGGTGGGTTGGATTAAGGATATCTGGGTGTGGATTAAATGTTTTTGAGAGGTGCTGAGCAAATATTTGAGATTTTTCTTAGTCAGATCTGGACCAGGTTTGGGTTTCAGTAATAAATTGGTGGTTAAAATCTTTGAATTTAAGGAGCATTTTAGTGGTCAACCATATTGATTTGTCAGAAGTAGTAAGTTTTTCTGTCATGTTAAGTAAATTTTGAACTTTGTATTTTCTAATTTCAGCTTTTAGTTGGTTAGTTAATTTGTTGTAATGTGTCTTATCTGATGGGTATCTAGTCCTGTGCCACTTCGATCTTGCTCTGCGTTTTTCCCTTAATAAGATACAAATATGCTGCGGCAAACTTGTCTGTTGGGAGTAATCAGTTTTATTGGTAGATGTATTATCGTTTATTTTGTCACTTATAGATGTATTAAGTACTTCTATGGCTTGTCAATGTCACGTTTCGTCATAGGTGGAATATTTAGGTCCAATTTATTTTCTAGGTCTTTACGAAATTTGTCTCAGTTTACTCGTCCTGTAATCAGCTCCTACACACTTAAAATTCATTTCGAATATATTTTGAAAGTGCTGGAGATGGCGGGTTTTCGTTTACCACATATCTTAGCGAAAGAGGTGATAACTAAGAGAATTTATTGGTAGCAAAAGTTGTTAGAATTCGAGGATAGTTATAAAATTAATCTTGATATTGCAAATATCGCTGGTCTGCAAATAAAATTGACTGTTGTTAGACATAGGGTAGAGGAATTAGAAAAATAAAACAACCTTCAAAAATGTCTTCATTCAAGATTTTCTGTTTACGCAGGACTATGTTCAGTGAGCACTGTTAAACTCTATCTTAATGATAGTTTTGATATTGTGACTATAGGGTCAATTTTTCGATGTAGGACAGAATTGCTCAATTTAAGCATAAAACCATGAATGGTAGGGGACAACGCTTGCTGTCCGAAATGTAGGAGTATAAAGGAGTAAATACTGGGGCTATCAACTATGTATCCCAACCGCTTAACTTTTAAATTTTGTGTTCGAGTGAGAACAACAAAATTAAGGAAAAATGACCATAATGAAATGAACTTTTTGTGTGCATACTTAAAATCATTCCTAAATGCACTCATGTATCAATGAAAAAAAAAATATTTAAATGATTATATACAACGATTTATATATACGATATATAAAAATTTAAAATATATACAAAATCACAATACATACAGAATAAGTGGTCTTAGGTGTACGAGAAAAATTACTGGATAGTTTAAGGTGAACATTTAAATCCTATTATCGCTAATTAAAAGTTAATATAATATGTAAAAAAAATGTTTTAAGTCCACAATGGGAATATATTTAGAGTAATTTATATTATTTATTATTTATTTATTTATTACTAAACATTTTTATTTTGTATCCATAAGACAAGCCTGTGTTTGTAACCATACATTTCCAAAAACTTTATTTTATCATTCTCCTAACCTGGGTCTATAACGCCAACTTTTTGTTTTATCCGGTAAGGTTCCTTATCAGCTTTAACTTCTTCTGAATCACTGATGTATATAACATTGTCCTAGGTTTAGAAGAGGTATCATTAGTTGTAATGTCGATTAAAGTTTCTCCTTTTTCTGCTTCACTTATAATGTCAACATCAATCTCTTCTACTACTGGCAAATCAGGATTGATGTTATCAGACCTAGACTCATCTTCCTTCAGAATTTCTTTTTCTTCATCAATGTTCTCTTTTTCAGCTCCGGATGGCTCACTATCATTGACTATTTCAGTTGTGGATTCTTCACAAACAACAGTATTCTCACAATCCTTTCCATCATCAGTGGTTTCCTTTATTTCTTCATTAGCATGACTTTCATCTAAATTTTCATTATTATCAACTACAATGTTTTCAGAACTTTGTACATTTGTAGGGTACTCATCATGTTTAGTTTCCATAGCATTTTCATCATTATTACTTCCTAGTGGTTCATCTTGAAAAGAGCAGCTCTGTACAATAGTGACATCTTCAGACTCAGTTTCTTGTTTAATGATTGTGTCCTTAAAATGAGTTGTTTCATGCCTTAACTCCATTTTTAATTCACCTGTCATTTTTATTAATGCACTTTTGAACTTCTTGGTTGGACTTTGTGATCGTTTCATCTAGTTTGTCAAATTTGTTATTTAAATTTTCTATTAGTTCCTGTTTGAACGATATGAATGCAGCCAAAAAGGTTGCCATGAAAGCATTTTGCTGAGCTGTTACTTGTGCCTTTGTTTGAGAATGCATGATTAATTTATATGTGAGACATTAACCTCCAAATTGCGAATAGTTACGTGTTTTTGGTCGGAGTCTCGATTGTTTTAACATTCTAGCATAGTCTTTGCACAACACCATTTTGAAATTCTGGAATAAACAAACTTTTTAGTATTATTATTTTTTTAAATTAAATATTAATTAACCTCCCACGGCCTAATCAACAGTTTACTTCTGTTCGGCGCCACTTGTAAATAACCTGTTAAAGTTAAATGTAAATAATTTGTTTTTGGCAGGAATTGGAGAAAAGCCTTCCTCTTTATCAGGGAACTAGGTTATTTACACTCGTGATTATTAATGAGAGAAAACCCCGGCACTGGATATAGACTTTTTTGAGGGTGTTTGTTTAACTGTTGTTTGGAATTCGGGAATCTAATACCTTTTGTGACACTGCGTGACAAGAAACAACAAGAACATATACATATACATATATATATATATATATATATATATATATATATATATATATATATATATATATATATATATATATATATATATATATATATATATATATATAAATACACTTTGAATGAAATGACTCACCTTGTTTATTATTCTTCCAATTGTGAGGCCTTTAGGACAACTAAATAAAAGGACTATTCACTCCTGTCTAACAAAACAATTTATTTTACAACTGTAATAAGTGAATCTATTAAAGTCTTATAACTGTAGGCTTGATATTCTTGGTCTTCAATGTTCTGCCTCTCTCATCTCAGGTAACGTCCTCTCGCCTCTGTGTCTCTGCCTCAAGTGCACTTCTCTCCCTGACGTCATTCTCCAGCTGTTGCTGCTACCTGCTCTATCCTTTTTCCAGCGTCCTTCTTCATCAATTGTTTATCGATATGAGACTTTTCAATGAATAATTTGTCCACTCCATTATTGAGTACAATTCATCGTGCAACCTTACATTCCTATATATTCCTTCTCATTCCCTAACATAATGTCACATAAAGGAGTAAATACTGGGGACTATCTACTACAAGACGGAATTTGCCTTTGTCTACGTGTTGCTGTTTGTATATATATATTTTACTTAATATAATTTTTTTTAAAAAGTATAATAAACACGTTTTCATTCATTCAAGTAAGAAGAGCGGTAAGTGAAAGTTGTGTGTTGCACAGATTTTTTTCATTTTGTCAGATTTTTTAAATTCATTTTATACTTAAAGTAATTATATTGAGTGCATCAACCTTAAATTATATATTTTTATTTTCTTTTAACTTACCTGATATCCACAAGTTTTTCCTCCCATCGATTCACCAACAATCATTAATCCATGTCTCACAAGTATCATTTCATAAATCTGTAAGATCTTGCCCAGATACCAATCTGTATCTTGAAGGTTTTTTGACTTCAATCTGACACGGAGAGCATCAAATAATTCATCTCGATCAGGCTTTGGAAGTACAACTCCAGGAAAGAGGTCTGTATATATTCCATCAAATAAAGGTATATCCTTTAAAAAGAAAAAAAACAACCAGTTATATATTATTGTAATTTTAATTAATTGTAAAAATTATTTATTGTAATTTTACATGTCCCCACATATATTATAACAATAAGCCTCGAAATCGGTTTTGTACAAAATATAAGCTCCTGTCATGCTCAAATACCATGAATGGGATACTGTTGGATTCAGAATTTCACCAGGGGTTGGCGAATTGTATTCTCCACTTTTGTTTTTCTTTCTAAAATAAATAAAGTCGATTCAAACATTTTGCTAGGCTTCAATACTGTAACAGTGGTAAGTCTGTAGATCAATACAGGACAAATAGGGCTTTGAAGATTTTGATGAATACAGCAAGACCCGGCTAGTTTCCCCGGAACTATAGAGTCCTGTGTTTTAATGCAAGGAATAGGGTTTGCATCCACACAACCTTACGTTAATTGTAGTACTGGCATTGAATACATTTCGTCGACTTGAGGCCTCTATGATCAAGAGAGGAGTTTATATTATTTATCGATGGTGTTTTTTATCGGCAAAAGCCATATCATCATTAATTCTTCAATTCAATTTTGAAAGGTCAGGTAGCAGCAGCTGGAAGAGGACGCCAGCCACTTGAGACTGAGACACCAAGGCGTGGGGATGTTGCCTGAGATGAGAGAAGCAGGACATTGAAGACTAAGAATATCAAGCCTACAGTTATAAGACTTTTATACATTCATTTATTACAGTTGTAAAATAAATTATTTTATTATACAGGAGTGAAAAGCCAGTTTTTTAGTTGACCTATATGCCTCACGATTGAAGAATAACAAACCAGGAAGTCCCACATTTCAAGTATATATTCTTATTGTTTCTTCTCACTCAGTGTCACAAAATGTATTAGATTCCCGAATTCCCAACAACAGTTAAACACCCGCAAAAAGTCTATATCCAGTGCCGGGGTTTTGTTTTAATTATTTCAAGTGTGAATAATCTAGGTCCCCGATATAAAAGCGGAAGGCTATTCGTCAATTCCCAACAAACTAATTATTTACATTTAACTTTCAACAGGTTATTTACAGAAAAGAAACTTATTTGCGAATAACTAAAAAATTACACAGTTTTTATTTGGTTATGCCCATGATTATATAAAAGATTATTAAATTTACTACAAAAAGAAAAAAAAAATCATCGAAATCGATTAGAAATTTTTCCAATATTTTTTTTTCTTCATTTTATTATTTATTTTTTCTTATTTTCAATTAATATTCATTAAGAGAGACCCATTATAGCCCATTTCATTTGAAAATAACTATATATTTGGCATATAGCTATAGTACCAGTACGACTTGGAACAATTTGTACTGACAGGAGGAAAGTGGGTTCAAATATTTATTTTAAGAGAAAACAGAGTTGAGATTTGTATTTCGCACCTCTATAAAGCCTCAAACACGAATTTTCATAGAAATCAAAAAATTTTTTTTTTGTTTTTTGCACCAAATTGGAACCAAGCCTCCCTAACCACGCCACTTCGATTTTCTTTCGAAAATCACAAACAGTGGGGTAACATAAAAATGACCCCACCTATCCTCACGAAAATATAAGTTAAGTTAGGACTACATAAGCTACACGAAATGACAAAAACCAGACCCCTGTAAATATAAAAGAACTAGAAATAAAAAAACAAAAACCTTTGAGGAGTTTTTCTATATTTATTGTTTTAAACGCGTCAAATCTAAAAGTTATTGATATGGTGTTGAAGAGTAATAACTCAGCTTTCCAACAATCATAGAAACATTGAATTAGAATAAAATCCTGAGGAATTATGAATCATATATTAAATAGCAAAGGAAAAAATCAAGTAGAAAGTTAAACCGTGTTTCTATGGTAACGCAGTCAACATTGCTATCCCTACATCCCCATCCCCACACAGTGGCGGATCCAGGAATTTTCTCAGGGGGAGCGCACCTCTGTACCACGTGCTTCTCCCACCACTACATCCCCATCCCCACACAGTGGCGGATCCAGGAATTTTCTCAGGGGGAGCGCACCTCTGTACCACGTGCTTCTCCCACCCCTAACCGTTCTCCCACCAATACCCATTTCACCCCCTCCTTAGCTCAGCTGAGCCACTCAAAAGTCCTCTTTAAATGGTTTTAACAAAAGCAAACTCTATTTTTATTTAAAGTAAATTTTGACTAGTTTACAATGAAGCTATCATTAATTACTTAAATTAAATAGTTTTTTTTTATCACTTTCTATTCTACAAAAAACGTGATACATAAAAAATCACAAAACTTTAATTTCCTACTTTCCTGCTAAAAATCGAACCATTGTTTATATAAACTTTTTTGAATTTATTCAGTTTTACTATCACTCTTTTAAATATTTCTCTCTACTTACGAGACACCATGTATATGGGTTTAGACATGTAAAAAAGTTAAGATGTTAAGAGGAAAACAATGCAAGCCTATTAGAAATGTAAAAGGTAGCGATGGAATCCTACTTACAGACAAGGAAAAGATCCTTGGCAGATGGAAGGAATATTTCCAGGAACAATTATCTGAAAATCCAGAAACAGACCATTATCAAGAACAAGAGCCCAATATTCAAGAAAGCCTGGAGGTTATAGAGGAAGAAGAAATAGAAAATGCAATCCATAAGCTAAAAAGAGGTAAGGCATCAGGAAGGGATGGAATCACACCAGAATATTTAAAATTCGGTGGTCAAGAACTTCTTAAAGCACTACAATCGCTGTTCCAAGAAGTATATGACAGAAAGAAAATTCCCATGGACTGGGAATATTGCATAATCCTCCCGATTTATAAAAAAGGATGCACGACAGATTGCAAAAATTATAGACCCATTAGTCTGCTATCAGTGGTCTATAAACTTTATACTTCTATACTAGAAAGGAGACTCCGACGGATTGTGGAAGGGCAGTTAGAAGCGGAACAGGCTGGTTTTCGTCCAGGCCGACAGACGCAGGATCACATCTTTGTTCTCAGAAATATTGCTGAAAAAGCTTGGGGCAGAGATAAAAATCTGTATCTTGTGTTCCTTGATCTGAAGTCAGCGTTTGATGTGGTTCCAAGAAAAGAAATTTGGAATGCCCTAATAGCCAAGGGTGTACCTGGAGACTTGCTGGCGGCCATACAGTCAGCCTATCAAGGAGCCATGGCAGTGGTAAGGATGAACGGTATGGAATCGGAACCTTTTCCAATTGCGAGAGGAGTTAGACAGGGAGATAGCTTAAGTCCCCTTCTATTTATAAATGTAATAGATGGAATCCACAAAATCTGTAAACGCCGAACTGCGTGGACAACAATTGGGAAGTGGAATTTGAGAACTGTCCTTATACAAAGCCTTCTATACGCGGATGACATAGTCCTAATAGCCGACACGAAGACCAAACTACAACAAGCTTTGGTAGAGTGGGAAGAAGAGTTGCTCAGGAAAGGGATGCAAATTAACACCTCCAAAAGTAAAGTGCTGGTTATGGCGAGAGAAGATGTCCAGCTGATCTGCAATGGCGAGACACTTGAGGTGGTGACTGAATATACCTACCTGGGGACCGTAATTAGTAGTTCTGGTAAGATAGACGCCGAAATATCAAGTAGAATATGTAAGGCGAATCAGGTATATTACCAAACTACTAATAGCATTATCGGCCATCGCGAAGTAGACAAGAAGACCAAAATGCACGTATATAAGTCTGTTTACCTACCTACACTCACCTACGGCGGAGAAAGCTGGACAATGCTAGACAGGCACTCTAGTAGCATAACGGCAGCAGAAATGAGGTTCCTTCGCAGATCTGTTGGCAGAACTAGAAGTGATCGCATTAGGAATGAAAGCATTAGAGAGCAGCTAGGAGTTGCCGAACTTAAAACTACTCTAGAAAGACGGCAACTCCAGTGGTTTGGACACGTCTGCCGCATGAATGAGAATTTGAATCCTATAAGGATATTAGAGGCTCGACCTACAGGAAGGAGACCACGCGGATGCCCCAGACTCACGTTCCAGGATTACATTCAAAGGATTGGATGTAAAAGAGGCAAAACCCTTAATGAGATGAAGCGACTAAGCACGGACCGGGAAGAGTGGTTGCACTGGTTGAGGCTCCTCGACGCTAATTAATGGCATAAGAGGAAGACAAAGAAGAAGAAGAAGATATAATCGATAACCATGGTCAATGAACACAAATTTTTACCGATATTGCCTAAATCTGAGAAAGATTACTGTAAATGGCCCTGTAGCTTGGAAATGAGTTCTATAAGAAAAAAAAAATGAGAATGATTTCCGATTCTGATCATAATCAGATTCCGATCAGATCGGAGACCAAATAATTAATACATGCCTTCATGAAAACGTTTCCAACAGCAGCTATTTTAATAAAAGAACAACACATTCCAATTAGAAATATACAAATTATGATTGTGACCAGTTATTCACTATGATGACCAGTTATGAATTATGATTCGCATGGATTCTTCAAGGAGATTATAGAATAGAATAGAAAATAGAACTTTATTCTGGGACTAAGTGTCCTTAGAATAACAAAGATGAATTAATACAAAATAAAATACAAATCTGGCCAAAACCTAACTTATAAAAATTCGAACATTATATAAATTATTTAAAAGTAATATGTAACCACTAAGAAATAAACAAAAAAGATATATATATATACACACACATATACACATATATATATATATATATATATATATATATATATATACACACACACACATATATATATATATATATATATATATATATATATATATATATATATATACACACACACGCACATACACATACATATATATACATACATACATAGACATATAAATGAACATACAATCTTTTCCAAATTTACTTGTTATTATGATGAAAAAAAAAAAATAAAAGAAGTTACATATCTATATGTAACTATATATACATAACTGCACAATTTATAAACAATAGGCTATCTAATAGAAAAATAATTTAATACAAAATGTAATAATATTTACAGTGATTCG